CCTGTTGAGGGTATTCAAGAAGGTTCCAGCAGCTGAATTCGACAACAACAGGTGACAATTTGATGCACAGTTGCACTATTGCTTCGAGCAACGACATGGTTTCACTTGGTGTTTGTTAAGCACTAAGCACTTAAAAACTCGGAGGACTAGAATGTATAATATCCATTCTAGTCCAGCGAGTTTATTGCAGCCCTGGTGACTCTGGAAGCTCGAGTGAAATTGATGATGCGGAAAACACTGCAGCCATTATAGAGGAGTTCGAGAAGTCTCTCATGGAGAGAATTCATCACTGACTGACGTCATTGATTCTGTGTAATGTTGAGTTTTACGGTATTCTTCGAGTTAGATTCCTCTAATCCGAAAGTACAACTCTCGCATGGGGATCAATAAGAATACACCGTTGTGGCGATATGCTGACAGTGTGAGCAAATTCGCGAGTTCTTTGTTTGTTATTATGTACGCTCGTCTTAATAATGACAGCGAAAGACACGATCTTCCACATCCTCGCCGTGGAAACCGGCATGCCATTAGAAGGAACTAGGCTGGCTCTCAATCTGCTGTAGATTATCTACGTGCCAGCAGCCCTGTGCGGGATGGCGACACGGATTTGCTGGAATGCTCCACCATTCATCATGCTCCATCTCACGTCATAAATGAAATGCTCATAAGCGGGTAGGAAACGACTGCACCACTCAGCATTCTGTCATATACAATAGAGTCCACCGCAGCGTGCCCCTCTCAGATTGAAGTACACTAGCTGGTGCACACCGATGCTAGGTTTCTCCACATCCCGAAACGTGAAGGCTGGCTGTGCGGCGGGAGTTGTGCGAGACGTGACGCCGGCACAGTGACGGCAACTTCAAATCCCTCTTCAAAACGTAACCGAAGGAATTCTTTGGGGATTATCATCACTTGAGCCTCGACCATGTCGATGACTTAGAAGTTTCAGTTATTTCACTGTTCCTACCTCTCAACAAGGCACGAATGTCTCGTCTCTCTACTGTCGCAACAATTCTCGGTGCTGCTACTGCCTCCCCCGAGGGCCTCTACTGTGGTAGTGGTAAGTATTGGAATTCCCTCATGTTCAAGGTCAACGAGACCACCGGCACCTTTGCTGCCAGCGGGATCGCTGACAAGGAAGGTGCCTCTCCCTGGTATCTTTCCAGTATTCCCTTCTACATGAACGAAGAGGACACTGCCATGCAAGTCGGTACAAAACCCGAGAATCGTCTACTGTACACCATCGGAGGCTTTGGCTACAAACTGCCTGTCTTCACTAAGTTGCCCTACGACGCCGAGTCCCAGGCCCTCACCCTCACCTACAACGACGATGAGATGGTTTGCAGCCATGACAAGTGCCCTTCTACCCTACCGGGTCATCGCGAGGGGTTCACTGGGCCCGACGGCGCTTACTGCTGCACTGATGGCCTTTACTGGAGCTTCATCATGTTCAGGGTCAACGCCACTACCCAAACCTTTGACGTGAGCGGCATTGCTAACCTACCCAATGCCGCCCCGTTCTACGTGTCTGACCTCTCCTACACTATGAACCAGGAGGATACTGCCATGTTGGTCGACCAGAAGCCAGAGAGCCGTGAGCTCAAGAACATCGGTGGCTTCGATCTGCCCTACCCCATCGACCTCGATTGGATCGAGTTCGACGCCGAACGGCAGCAGATTAGAACTTTCTATGGAGGTGATTATTTGGTATGCACCAACTCGAAGTGCCCCGCTGGATCTCCTAGAAGCCGCGGCCGATTCCTCGCTGATGGTATGTACTGCTGCAGCGACTATAATTTGAAGTCTCTCGTCTTCAAGTTCGACAACGATACTCGCACCTTCGACGTCTCCGCCCTTTCCATGGTCCCTGGGGCCGCTCCTCTCTACATTTCCGATGTCCACTTCCACTTCAGTGAGGATGGCACCAAGATTTTGGTCGATAAGAAGAGCCGGCAACTCCAGATTGGTGGTTTCGGGTATCCCGTCCCTGACTGGAAGGAGTTGGACTTCTCCCCTGAGTCCCAGACCATTACAGTCACGTATAAGGACGATGAGATGAAGTGCACTTACGACCAGTGCCCAGCTGGCTCTCCTCGTGGTCTCGAACGCTCTCTCCCTGATGGTATGTACTGCTGCAGCGGTCGCTACTGGGCGGACTTCTTCTTCGAGTTCAACTATGCTGCTGGTACCATGATAATGTCCGGTATGGCTAACCTCCCCAACGCCGCCCCGTTCCATCTCTCCGACATGCATTTCCACATGAAGTCCAACAACAGGGTGATCCAGATCAGTGAAGGTCGTTCCCTCCGCAGGACTAAGCTCATTGGAGGTTTCGGCTATCCACTCCCCGACTTTAAGACTCCATTGCCCTTCAGCGCTGCTGAAAATAGCATTACGCTAATCTACCGTGATGTAGCAATTGTTTGCACTCCCGAACAATGCCTCATGGAAGAGTAAGCTGATAATTGTCTGGAAGAGTATCCAGGCTGACGTAAAGTCATTTCCCGCTCGGCAGATTCAGCTCGAATCTGCCTTTCTGCGAAATTTGGTGCTGGAACCGTTCGAGCATCAGAGTTCGCCTTCTAGTTTTTCCTTGTGCTTCGACGCATATTTTCCATCTGATCGAGCGCAGCCTAGACTGCTCAGGAGGCTCGTTAGAAACACCTCATTTTTTCAAACTTCTCTTTTTTATCGTGTTATGAGTCAATACGTAAGATTCAGGCAGGTGGTGCATCCATCTTGGGGAACATTCGGTACAGAGCATGCAACAGAACGTTCCCCAGCCGAGGCATGCTCTGTTGCCTTCCTCAGAAGCTGCTTGCTCTCCTTCTTACCGGTTCGGCAACGTCCTTTCAACTCGAGACAACCCTCTACTATGCGATCCTTGTACACTGAAAACGATATTGAGGTTATGTATCGAGAATGCCGTTGAGCAAATATTGGATCGTAAAAGGAAAGAAACCCGGGGAAGTAGATTCTACCGAAATACAACTCGTAGTGGCATAGCCGCCCCGATCAGGGAAGTAGATTCTACCGAAATACAACTCGTAGTGGCATAGCCGCCCCGATCAGGGAAGTAGATTCTACTGAAATACAACTCGTAATGGCATAGCCGCCCCGATCAGGGAAGTAGATTCTACTGAAGTACAACTCGTAGTGGCATAGCCGCCCCGATCAAGGAAGTAGATTCTACTGACATACAACTCGTAGTGGCATAGCCGCCCCGATCAGGGAAGTAGATTCTACTGAAATACAACTCGTAGTGGCATAGCCGCCCCGATCAGGGAAGTAGATTCTACTGAAATACAACTCGTAATGGCATAGCCGCCCCGATCAGGGAAGTAGATTCTACTGAAATACAACTCGTAATGGCATAGCCGCCCCGATCAGGGAAGTAGATTCTACTGAAGTACAACTCGTAGTGGCATAGCCGCCCCGATCAAGGAAGTAGACTCTACTGACATACAACTCGTAATGGCATAGCCGCCCCGATCAGGGAAGTAGATTCTACTGAAATACAACTCGTAGTGGCATAGCCGCCCCGATCAGGGAAGTAGATTCTACTGAAATACAACTCGTAATGGCATAGCCGCCCCGATCAGGGAAGTAGATTCTACTGAAATACAACTCGTAATGGCATAGCCGCCCCGATCAGGGAAGTAGATTCTACTGAAATACAACTCGTAGTGGCATAGCCGCCCCGATCAGGGAAGTACATTCTACTGAAATATAACTCGTAGTGGCATAGCCGCCCCGATCAGGGAAGTAGATTCTACTGAAATACAACTCGTAGTGGCATAGCCGCCCCGATCAGGGAAGTAGATTCTACTGAAATACAACTCGTAGTGGCATAGCCGCCCCGATCAGGGAAGTAGATTCTACTGAAGTACAACTCGTAATGGCATAGCCGCCCCGATCAGGGAAGTAGATTCTACTGAAATACAACTCGTAATGGCATAGCCGCCCCGATCAGGGAAGTAGATTCTACTGGAGTACAACTCGTAATGGCATAGCCGCCCCGATCAGGGAAGCAGATTCTACTGAAGTACAACTCGTAATGGCATAGCCGCCCCGGTCAGGGAAGTAGATTCTGCTGAAGTGCAACTCGTAGTGGCATAGCCGCCCCACTTGGAGGAAATGATCTTATTAAGAGGGACATGCCGGAGACAAGCTCGTCCCAAATAGCAGTATATTGGTGCCACTTCAATTCCTCCTTCATCCGCCATCATCAACACTTTCCATTCAACCAACCCCCATCACTGAGACTCATATCTGCTCTTTCGGTTAATCAGTCAGTCCTCCTGAGCTATCTCGAGGAGCATAGAGCCCATGAAGAGTCGTCAAAACAACCTCACTATTCTTATAGTTACGATCTGCTGAAGAGGCGGGAGGCAAAGTGTTTTTCGAGAGGTTTTCTCAACGTTGATAAGAGTCCTTAGAGGCGGGGACTTACCCCCCCCCCCCGGTTTTGACCATCGCTTGCAGACGAGACGTCATGGTCACATATCGTACAGTGATGCAGACGTCGAGTTGTACTTTTACTTCCTGGGAGGAGTCTATCCTTACCCCTTACTTAACAAGGAGGAATGTCCCAAACCCGTCAGAACAGGCAGACCCACGAAGCTGGCCGAATTGTGTGATGGGCCAAAGGGTGTATGGAAACACATACTAAACCCAACAGTAAATCCATAAGTCATTGAGACTGAGTTCAACGATACAGAGAAAGTCTTCCCTCATGATATTGCTCGTACGGTCCTCGTTGCCTATGGTGCGGGAGTATGGGATGCGGCGTATTGTGGTAACGTTACTGCGTTCGGCAGAGAATTTTGGGGAATTCTGCGACTTATAAAAGGTTCTGGTCAGCCTACGAGTAAATTCCTGGTCAGAAACGTGGGAGCTGGTTAAACCATCCTGGTTTTGGTACTGATGAACACGTTAAGGAGAACGCTGCATATAACGCTGAGATGCTGAGTTCAGCTCGAGAGGTCTTTGGTGACGCTGGTGTTGGTATTATTCCTTTTTATAAGGTGTCCCGGGGGAGGCCAGACACAACTCACGATGGTCCGCTTGACCAGATCGAGCTTCTACTTTTCTTGACTCTTTTTTCGCGGGTTTAGCTACGAGATTTTCCTGTGATCTAAAATTTCGCGCTCAACCGGAACGACTATGACTCTGTTTTCACTATCTCATTGCAGATTTGTCTACGTATTTCTCCTGGAGGCCAGCCCAAGAAGGCTCGGTTGGGAAGAGCTTAGTCGCCTCAGCTCATCGTTCCGTGGTGTTCGATTCGACTTAATGAGAACTTCATAATATGCAGGACTTGCTTTGCGCGTTTCAGCTTCTTGCTCCATTTTCGCGCGAGGGACCTCCATGACTCTTCAGCTTTATTATCGAATTGATAGTATCAGCTAATGACAACAATCATATTATGAACCAGTCGCACCTGCAGAACATCTTTGCTGGCCTACGACTCGTAGGCTACGACAAAAGATAGGTTCCTCCTATTGCCGTCCATCTACGAATCGTCAAGTTTTCAATCAATAATTGACAATTATATCGTCGTACGAGTAACGCACCCAGGCTGGGTGACCCAGGGCATCAATATGCACCTTCCCATTCCATGAGAGAACGTCCGTGCCGTAGTATGATACTACTAGCACCCCGGTCTGTCATGTGTATCCACAATCATCCTATTCGCTTTGCTAGGGTCCTCCAATCACAGCACAAACAACATCAGCTTGACAGACACGATAATGATATCGGAATAACTGATGTCATCCAAGGCCAGCGAGTATGTACAGCATGATAATCAACAGTACACGAGGGAATAGTGCGCCATTCGGCTACACTGAGTCAAGCATAAGGCATGCTATCCTGCTTCATACTGGCGTCTGCTAGGCCCTCTAGCATGATCCACTTCAGCTGGCAAGAGGAAATATAATCCCGATGCCGGCCCACCATTCGACTCCCTGGGAGCTGCTCTCAGATAATTCGAGTCATGTTAACTCTCCACATGGGAGCTAGAGGACCTCCCTGACCTACGGCTATGACGCTTCCCGTTTTTTTCCTGGATACTATGCAACAAACACGAGCACGCGTTAGTACTTATAAGACCCTAGGGATTTCTGCTCCTAAGAGCACACTTGGATCATTACGCTCGAGATAAGTGTGTGCCACGAAGTTCACGGCTTGAGCATATGATCACATATTGTGCATTCTTCTCACCGTTCGATCATCAATCCCTTTGAGAATAACTGGCGATGAAACATCGTCACGGTCCACTCTAGACTCGCCAGAGGCATCGACAACATCATGTGTTCCTTTGTTTTCCCCCCGCAATGTTTTTCGCAAGAGGATCTCTGCTCGTCACACGCTAAAGAGCATCTTCATCTCATCACTCATCCGACCTGCCTCCCGGCTTTCAGGTGCTAGAAGTATGATGAATCCTTCCAACTCAAATTCCCCTTTTGTCTTTCCCCATCCAAACATATCCCTCTTCACTCCTTACTTCTCACAGCGCACTCCCTATCAGCTTTATTCTCGTCATATCCCTCGGTGAAAAACACTGATTCGGAACAAATCGGCGAGACCTCAGGTTGTTTGGTTCTCATTGCATACAATGTGTGTGCCGGATTTCCTCCCAAGAAATTCCTCATGTGAGTTGCGCTGCACGTGGCTGTGGAAGTTCCCAATGTAATTTGTGTACAGGCGTTCTGCTCCCGAGCTCCGACTCGCCGGATGCGTATGGTACGACTAGCTGTCATTACTGCTTATGAATTGATAGCAGATTGGTATCGCAATTCTAATTGGAAAGCGGATGGCTCATCGAATGAGCATTCCTTTGTATGTACGAATTATGAAAAGCTCAGAATTCCTTGATAAGAGTCCCGCATCCTCCCTAAAACCACATACCTATGCTCCTCAGCAAACACACAATCATCAGCGTCTTCGATCAATTATAGACGAGCTCACGGAACCTAGTGACACCTATGAAGAAATTGGCGGGCGAGCCTGAAGGTGCTGTTGCTTGTTCGTGGCTCACAGTAGACAACACGAGTCGGAAGGATGCACGTATGTGCATAGCTAATCACCCACCCCCCCGAATAGATTAAGACGGAGGTCTTTCCAACTCCTTCTGACTCGTGTTATCTACTATGAGCCACGGCCAAGCAACAGGTACCCGACAAGGCTCAGATTCCCCCACACGGAGCCTCCGGTGTGAAGACACTTGGACGCACGATTCGATAATGAGCCGTCCAAGTTGGACGGTCCAACGCACCGACTCCACCACAAATCGTTATGCCCGAAACGGCTTTTGCCTCGAAAGACACGATCGTCCACATCCTCGCCGTGGAAACCGGTATGCCATTAGAAGACTGAGAAGAAACTAGGCTGGCTCTCAATCTGCTGTAGATTATCTACGTGCCAGCAGCCCTGTGCGGGATGGCGACACGGATTTGCTGGAATGCTCCACCATTCCTCATGCTCCATCTCACGTCATAAATGAAATGCTCATAAGCGGGTAGGAAACGACTGCACCACTCAGCATTCTGTCATATACAATAGAGTCCACCGCAGCGTGCCCCTCTCAGATTGAAGTACACTAGCTGGTGCACACCGATGCCAGGTTTCTCCACATCCCGAAACGTGACGGCTGGCTGTGCGGCGGGAGTTGT